CTTAGGATGTTCCTGTCTCCTCTTTATTCAAATGCTTATCTTTTTAATGTCAGACAAGTATGTACTACTAACTTTAAGGAAGTGATAAATCTCGCTGCTTGCGTGACAAACTGTGTATAAATGCTAGCCCTGAAAATATACTCATTGAGAACTTGTTAAGCACTCTTTCGTGTCTGTGTGTCTTAATTTGCTAACAAGAACTCCCATCAATTGATGTTGTGACCGGAGGATCGAGAATTCGAGGGGAGTTGAGTCCAGAACAGCATTAACCCTTTCAGGCAGTACACAGCATCTGGTGAGTTAACTCACTTCTGCTGCACCCCCCGGCCAATGCATCCCAAGTGGCAATGTTATCACTGGGGGTCTTTGCAAACTATTCAATATCCCATACAGCGACAGAGCTGATTTAAAGTGGTAAATAATATAAAGAAATTCATCCTCATAGTGTAAATCTCCCTTTAAGGAAAGTACTCTGCATGCAAGTGATCAAGTATTTAGTGAAGGAAATTTGAGTAGAGAATTAATATTAATCGGTGCTAGTGATCTGAGTTCTGTGAATGAATTTAACTGAAACATGAACTACCAAGTGTACAATTCCTACCTTGAAGTAACATGAGTTAAAGTGAAAGTTTACCTTCAAGACAGATTTAATGACCTACCAAGGTGAAATGCTCAGTTATATGCATTTTTCTGTAACAAAGTTTCAGGAGAGCTTGCAAATATCCCTCTAAAATTCACTTTAGCTTTTTTTTTTTTTCCAGAAAAAATGTTTTCTTGCAAACATATCACTGAGGAATAAAGCTAATATTTTAATTGCAGCAAATTCAATATGATCCAAAATGTCATATGCCCAGAGGGATTTTGTTGTTTGATTGGGAGGTGACTACACATTCTGAAGTACAACTTTGTAGACTTTATGACCTACTGACTGACAGCTCACCATATAATTCAGTAAATCAATCCGAACAAGACCAAATAATTTTATTTACACAAACTAATTCATAACACATTTATCGTAGTTTAAACAAATATTATTGGAATATTTATTGCTGTAATTAAAACTATTATGCACTCACACACCACAAACAGTCTGATCTCCATTAAAAGGACAACAAAAAGATACCTAGAACAAATCAGCTAGTTGTAAGCTATCAACAAAGCTGTAAAATGATCAATACTTACACAGAGACACATACTGATCATACGCGAAACACAATGATCTTGCAAACTGCACAGAACCAGCGCCCAGCACTGTACTAAGTAACTACACCATAAAAAAAGTTACTTTTAGACAATGATAAGTTACCATAATACATTATTTATATGGAGAGTGTCTATTTTGGGTTTGACAAAATCCTATTTGGCTCTGAAACGTTGCCAGCACCACTTCAGTAGAATAAAGTTCTGTTATTTATTCCTTTATTGCGGGTCTGTGATTTAGTTTGTGCATTACTTGGAAAATTGAGGGAAGGTACAGATGGACATTGCACCCAGAGTTACCATTTATCGATCAGCCACTCATTTTTAGAGGCACAGGCTAGATTCTTCTCTATGTCATCATCTGGTTTTGTGACTGGCTCTAAAAGATATTGTTTTGCTAGACTTGTGAGTTAAATTTTACCATCTGGAGTTTCATGGCCACTTATGATGGCTACATTCATGGCATCTTGGAGTTGGGCCTAAATCACCCACCCCAAAGTCTGTCCTTTGTTACCTGAGCTGCCATCATACATCACTGTGTACAAACTACCAAAGAAAAGACCCTATAACATATTGAATAGGCTGTAATAACATCTTGAATACCATACGTTTGCCCTGAATTTACCCACAATTAATCTTCCTTTCAATCACTGCCATTTCCTGCCTGGTCACAAATGATAGGCCTTCATCCAGCTCCAAGTAAACAACACTCTCACCTTCTAGAACTGAGTCTAATTTCCATTTTTAAAATATGTAACCTATCTCAATATTGACATTGCTTTAAGTAATAGCTTACTGATTAGTAAAGGTCACTATGCTGCAGCAATAAAGGTACACTACTTAGGCTTGCTGGAGGTTAACTGCCTGGCTTTGTAAAAACTAAATACAATCTGCAAATACAGGAAAACGATTTATTTGGAACTTGTATCAGTATATAGTAAGCTTTGCTTTGTTTGAGAGTATTACACATTGTGAAAATAATATCTGGACTTCATTTAGAATTACATCTTGTGTGCATATGTAGACGCTAGAGAATAGCTCTAAATGTACAAATTCAAGTAAAAGCAATCTAGCATCACTTACAAATAACTACAAAAATGCCTAAAAATATGATATACCGGTATATTATAATTTGACATGAACTCATATTTCTTTGTTAAGATAATGAGCATGTGCTTACGTGTTGCTTAAACTAATAACATTCTTTAGTTGAACAAATCAACCCAGTGACCGATTCATTCATTGTAATAAAATATTTGAAAACAAATTCTGAATTAGACTCATTTCAGTGTCAAAAGTGCTCTCCACTGCAAGATTGGAGGTTGTGCTAGTACAATAAACAATATAGTATGCCTGGAATCTGATGCATATCATCATACTAATATAACTAAGTACGATAGCCTGACTTTTATTTATTTTATTTATTTTACACACATACACATACATATATATATATATATATATATATATATATATATATATATATTGTACAGATAAAGTGTGTTGCACAATCATAGGATAATATGTTAAAAGCCCTCGGCGAAACGCATCATCGCGCTCTGACATCATCACGCTTGACGGCCGCTAAGCCCCGCCTCCCGGAAGTGTTGGAACCAGGAAGTCTTTCGGCACACAGAGACTCTGTACAGCCAGCGCCGAAATAGAGACTGCATAGAACAGCACTTACCATAAGGAGGAAAAAGACAACGAGGGACTTACCTGCCAGATATAGCGATTTTTTTTATTTAAAGAGTCAATAAAGGATTTCAACTTCACCACAGTTTCCAGCCTGCATCATTGCATGAGCAGACTTGATTGCTCTACCCTTGTGAGTGTTTTTGTTCATATTTTCTTAATATTTATATTTTAACATATTATCCTATGATTGTGCATTTTCCCTTTTCTTTTTAAGACACATGTTGGATTGCTGACAGAAGCTTTAAAGCAAACTCCATAACTGGGAAAGTTAAGTATTGGTTTCCTATTGCACAAAATTGTTGCAAAAAAAGATTGTTTGCACATTTTGTATATTCATATTTATATATTTGTAAGTGTGTTGCACATTGATGCACTTGATCACTTTATCTGTACAATATTGCACTAATTGTCTTCACTGTTTAAAAATTATTTTGGTTCTTAAAGGCACAGCGCACCTTATCTTTTATATTGTCTTAGTATAGGTGATTGAGCTTTTTCACTGTATATAGTGCTGCTTATTAGTAATTATTGTTGTTTTATAATCCAGCGCCATAATAATACTTGTGTGTTTTTATCATATATAGATATATATATTTTTAATTCTTTATTTTTGTTTTGCATGTGTAACAATCGTATGACCGTAATGCCACAACAGCATACTTAGACAATGTGAACATACATGAGTGTAAACTGTTATGTAGCATTTAGAAGGTACGCACATATTTTTATATAGTGATAATAACAAAATCAAGCTGGGTACATGCTGGTTAGCCATAATGAGTTCTTCTATCGTTTGGTAACAGTAGCGTAAGGTTAGTAAGTGTAGTAAGTGTCGTCGCTTTAGCCTCAGGCCCTATGTATAGTCGCGCTTAACTGTGCTCAAGTGTGGTATATATATTCCTAGCAATTACAGGCTGTCTAACCAGTCATATCCTACAGTAAATAGACAGTTAGGTCACGTGTCAATTATTGTGTCAGTCTCTAGGTAAGTCGCATTAACGAGATAAATTAAGTGTGCTTGTTCAAATCCTGCATTTGTCAAATTAAACAGCAATCAACCATGCTTTTATGATTCCAATAAATGACAGTTATCTAGAGACAGGTTGGTTAGGTTAACAAGCTGGGTGCTCATGTTTACAGTGTGGTCCATAGGCAAGCCTATTGATGGAGTATATCACCAGGCAGCAGATCTCATGCGTTGGTGGTACAGAGTTCCTGAGGGAAGGGTGGTTAAAGGTAAGACAGTTTCAGTTGTAAAAAGTCCCTCTTTAGATGAATGAGAGATGTCCCCTGCAGCTGCTGATGTGTTGTATCAGGGTGCCCGGTCTGTTGCCGGTTGCGGAGTGCTGGGCAAGTCCTGCACTGTGTCCCATCCGCATGTGAGGATCTCTCTGAGAACAGGGGTGTGGATGATTGCTTTTTTGCTTCTCCACGTGCCGGTAAGCCCCCAGTGCGGCGGTGTCCCTGTGGGGTGATTTGTTTTCCTGCCTGGAGGAGTGAGGGAGTGTCAGGGTACCTGTTGGTGATGTATCCAGGGAGGACATCCTCTCTGCTTAGGGGCTCCCTTCCCCTAGCATTTCAGCATATTTCGGCCGTTTTCGCGCCGGCCGCGCTAGCTCCTCCCCCTTTTATGACGTGACGGCTAGCGTCGACGTCATGACGTCGGCATTTGCATAAAGTGCCGGGAACCGCTATTCCGGACCTTTTGGGGGCGTGGTCTCTATTTAGGTACAGGGTATTTAAAGGAAACCTTTACTACTGCTCATTGCCCTGTCGTGGTTCTAGCTTGCTAGTCACTCAGCGCGTTCTTTATCTAGTGTTTCTGGTTTTGACCCTTGCTTGTCTTTTGTCCTGTTGTCCTCTCCTCTCCTTTGACTCGGCTTGTATCTCGCTTACCTGTCCTCCGGCTCCCTTGACCTCGGCTTACCTTTTGACTATTCTTGCTTTGTCCTTACGTTAGTCCGGCCATTCTAAGGTCCGGTATACGTACCTCCTTCTGTGCGCACTCTGCGTATTGGATCCCTGTCTGTTTCCTGACAGGGAGTACCGGGACCCCGCGGGATGCCTCTTAGGGTCCTGTCTTAGTGAAGATGGGTGGCTTGCTAGGGGTCAAGGGTACTTGCAGGTGGATGGTTGCGGTAAGGATCTGTACCTGTGGTGTTTACAGTCCGCTCTTTGTACTGCCGCTGTTGATAAGCAGCCCGCGAGGTCTCGACGCCATCCCATATGGCCTCTGCCATCTTGGTGTCATTGCCTGGAGCATGGGTCTTGGCGGCTCTGCTGTTTTGCCTGTTGTGCTTGTTGGTGGTCGGGTCCCGAGGGTAGAGACCGGGTTCACCCCCCCGGTCCAGGGGGGGGGGGGTAACGGGGCCGGTTCCCCGCGGGTCTGACTGAGCGCTGAACGGTCCGCCCCGCTCGCCTCCGGAGTAGGCCTCGATAATGTCAGGTAGGATTCCTCCTCCAGGGGACTGAAGCCTGTTGGGCCAGCCTAACCCTGGATCCAGGGCTCTCCGCCTGTTGAGGGCCACCATTGCCGGCCAGTTTTGTGCCAAAAATCGTGTGTATATATCTTATTTCAGTCTTACAGTCTTAGGCTGCAGGAGCTGGTCTCGCATGCGACCAGCCAGCTCGGCAGTCCGGCCCCGCCCCATATATATATATTAGTTTTTAACACAGTTTTTTCAGGTTATAAACGATACATAGAAAATTATGTGTACAGAGAACAATGGACCCTACATGAAAAACATAACAGATAAGCACTTTAAAATAGAATGGTGCAAAGAAAATAGAATGGTGTCAAAACATAAGTGAGGAACACAAAGTCTGTTTTGATCAGTTCCAGGTAGATCCAGCAGTCCTGTTAAAGTGTATTGAAAGGGCTAATAATGCAGGGCAAGCACAATATTATTGGACTCTGTTCTGAGTTGCGTTATAGTTACACAAAAAAACGTTTTGAGCAAACTGCAACTCTATTTGATAAGTTAGCCAAAGCCCCAGCTGAAGCCTATTATCTACAGGTGGTGACCTCCGCAGTATCACAGACACCTTCCTTCTTACAGATGCTGGGACTTGTTCAGAAGACACAAAAGGTGACTGGGACTCACCTATGGGAAAGAGCGAATGTCGCACTTTGTGCCTTGAGAATTCCCCCTCCACAGCTCAGGATTATTTTCCTATCTATCTGTCAAGATTATTACTGGGGTAATAGCTGCTTGATCCAATGAGACATCTGACTGCTATTTTGGGGTCAAGAAGGAATTTTTTCCTAGTTTGTTGCAAAATTGGAAGTGCTTCAGACTAGGTTTTTTGCCTTCTTTTGGATCAACAGCAAAAACATATGTGAGGAAGACTGAACTTGATGGACGCAAGTCTCTTTTCAGCTATGTAACTAAGTGCCTGATAGATCCTTAAAGAGGCACTGTCATGACCGAATGCCGTTTTTTTTAACCCCCCTCCTGACTCCACTACATCTAACTGACCCCCTAAGCCCCCCACATTACCTATTTTTGATTCTTTATTTTCTGCCCCGATCTGTATTCAGGGCGCCGCCATCTTTGTGTGGGTAGAGGAAGTCCCTGTGGGATACGTCATCTGCCCACACTAGATAGCACTGAGATTCCCACACATGCCCAGTGAAACACTTGGACATTCGAACGGGAATTTCATCTATTCATTCATTCATTCATTCATTCATCAGAAAGCCGAATGAATGAATAGCATTGTCAGATGAACAAACAAACACTGTGTATCAGTGTTCGTTTGTTCGTTCAGCTTATTACAAGGAGGGAGCTATTGGCACGCAGTGCTCCCCGCCACTTCCTAAACCCCCCATATCCCCCCTCACTCTATGACCCCCATAATAGCATAAGGGAGATTAAAATCTCCTCAATGCCCCTACTCGCTATACCGCGAGTAGGGGCATGTCCACTAAACAGTGCCTGTGGCTGCTCACTGTAAAAAACCTACTGTCCTCCCCCCAGCCCCCACCCCTGCGCGGTGGGTGGGGGCCATAAATTACAATGGGGGGGATGACCTACTGTCCTCCCCCCCGGCCCCCACCCTTGAGCGGTGGGTGGGGGCTATAAAGATAATGAGAAGGGAGGACCTACTGTCCTCCCCCCCGGCCCCCACCCCTGCACGGTGGGTGAGGGCCATAAATTACAATGGGGGGGACCTACTGTCCTCCCCTCCCAGCCCCCACCCTTGAGCGGTGGGTGGGGGCCATAAAGATAATGGGAGGGGAGGACCTACTGTTCTTTGGAATTTTCCCACGCTGTGTAAAATGACACAGAGCACTGTGATTGGATGGATTTCAAGCCACCCAATCAGAGTTGTCTGTGTCATTTTACACAGGGTGGGAAAGTTCTTTAGAATTTTCCCACACTGTGTAATTTGACTCATAACACTCGGATTGGTGGGCTTGGAATCTAACCAATCAGAGTGCTCTTTGTCATTTTACACAGCGTGGGAAAATTCCAAAGAACTTTCCCACACTGTGTAAAATGACACAAAACACTCTGATTGGAAGGATTTCAAGCCACCCAATCAGAGTGCTCTGTGTCGTTTTACACAGCATGGGAAAGTTCTTTGGAATTTTCCCACGCTGTGTAAAATGACAAAGAGCACTCTGATTGGCTTAAACCAGCCAATCAGAGTGTTTTTAGCCTAATTGCAGGGCGGGGCACGGCTTTATAAGTCTTGCCCCGCCCTGCAGAGCTCAGTCTGCGCGGAGCCCTCCAGGGGTGAAGATGGATTCTAATCCCCGGGGCATGCCTATGGAGTGAGACCAGCAGGGGAGACGTCAGGATCTCCCCTGCTGGCTCATGCAGAGCCAGCGCTATCCGAGCGCCGGCTCTGCTCTCGGCCTTCCTCTCCACTGCAAAATGGAGGGAGGCAGGAGATGACCCAGGGAGCTCAACCAGCAGCTCTGCCGAGTTCCTCTCGAGGTCGGAGTGTTGCAACGCTCAGATCACCACTGGACCACCAGGGAAGGCAGAAAGGATCCCCCCTCCCTACATAAGGTAATAAGGGAGGGGGGATATTAAGTAATTTACCCCCACCTCCACCCTCCACAATCACCCACATAGCACCTTCACACACACAGCACCCTCACACACACACACACACACATCACACTAACAGCACCCTCACACACACACACAACAACCTCAAACTACCCTCACACAGCGCGCGCACACATACATACATACACACACACACATACGGCGTGTGTTTGTGCTTTAGGGTGCACACCCTAATGCAATAGGCTGCGCACGCCTATGATGAGGAATATAGGAGGGGTTATACTGTATGGGAGGGGATATGCTGCTGACAAAAAGCTTCTGCAATCTGTGCTCTGGCTCGCAGATATTTTTGTAACAGGAGTTCATCTGAGACCCGATCGGTGTGTAAATAAATGACCTGTTACTTCCTGAATAGACTTGTGTCCATCTCTCTGTGTGTGGCTTCTGCGGTGTTTTCCGGTAACACTATTGTACGTATAGTGTGTCCATAACATTTACATTGGTTGTGTATTTAAAAATATTGTTATTTAATATACTTATTATTACAGATTGTGGTAACCGGATCATAACTAACTGCAGAGTGTGATATGACAGTGCATGAAAAAGAGTCCATCAAATTTCACACCGGTTGATGCTGTTGATTCATAAGAAAGCAAAAAAGCAGGACACAACTTTACTAAAAAAAAAAAATCAAAAAAAAAAAGAAAATCACATAATGTAAATGTCTATACTTTTTTCACATTTGTTTGCCTATTCTTTTAAATGGTATGTACATAGTCCTACATAACAAACCTTGGTAAATATATAGGTAAGCATCATACATGCCACATTCTATTAACATGAAAAAGCTTAGAATTGCAGCATTAATTATAAACACTGTTCTTTTCTAGAACAATAAGGTTTATTTGCAAAATATTGAATTGTAAATGAAAGCTGAATTTAACATTTTTGAAAATAGCCAAACTGTAAAAATAGCTGGATTGGATATTGGTTTTCAAATCAGTAGTTTTGGACTGCACTATTTTGCAGGTTGTTTTTTTTAATGCCCTACATTTTGGTGTCTAATGAACAAATTAGGGTTATTCACCATCTTGTGCATCAATGAAAATTCAAGCCAAAATAGTCAGCTTTGGAAAATTCACAGTCACCTATGGTTGTGGCATAAAACTTGAATTCCTGGCAAATCACAGTTTAGTGAATAACCATTTGATATGGGAGAGTTGTTAATGGGTGCAAAAGGGTAATTACACATGATCCAATAGGATGAACGGGCTGGTAAGAGTTGAGATGCAGCCAACCATTATTATTCCATAGATTAAAATAGTGGGAGGTGGATTTGGATACCAGTGTGAAGAGTACTGCATGAGTGATGCCATTGCTAGCCCATACCCCATTGTACATAGATTTGTGGCATGTTATTTCAATGTACTCTGATCCATTGGGGTATTTCCACGTGGTTTGCTGTATTTGTGGCTGGTCGACAAAATTGCCAGACTCTACTGAGTACATATGGTGCCCTGGAGCGGTTTATAAATGACTGCAGTCTGAAATGAGACTTTCATAGCACACTCAGGCTGTCATTGGGGACTATGGATTAATGGAAATCAGTCTTTTAGACATGCACAAAGTTCCATGAATGATATGTTGTGCTGTGAAGGTCTGATAGAGGTTGCAAGTATATAAGATGTCACAACTCACACCTCCAGCAGCCACCATCAATCAAACCCATACTGTGCATGTTCTCTGTTAGTAAGCGATATGTTTAGGGTTAAAAAAAGTCTATTCATTTGTTCTTGCACCCCAGGCCAAAAGTCACCAGCTTAATGCATATATAAAATTAATTTAATAACTTTCATAAAATACATCCATCTGATATTACATGTGCACAAGTGGTAGAGAGGTCAATGTTCCTGTATTATCAATATTCCCTGCCACAGCCACGAGAGTGATAACCTATTGTCAAATAAATTCAGGGAAACTTATCCTAAATGGTTGTGCATCCCACCTCGACTTATTCTCCAGGTCCCTCCTTTCTTGAGTTGAAATGCTATTACTCTTTACCTTAGGTTTGGATGTTTCCCAATTCTCCTCTGTTACATAACCCTTACTGCACCTCTCTGCTTTATTTTATGATACTCTCTGGAATGTTAAAAAGTATTTTTCTTCTACAACACACCTTGTCCATTGCTACGGACATGGATGTACAGTAATGGCACTTTATATATTGTGAAAGATTGATACAGAAGGAGTGATACAGAAAGTTGACACATCTGAGTTGTGGTTAGTGGAGGTATCACTAGGCTGTAATGTAAACACTGCATTTCCACTGCAAAGACTGTGTTTACAGCAAAAAGTACTAATGGAATGATTATACTCACCAGAACAAATACCAGCTATTCTGGTGACTAGAGTGTCCCTTTAATAGGTAAAATCCTCGTGAAATAATCACATCGATAGTGCTGGAATTTCATTGAACTTCTATACCAGTCAGTAGTGATGTCCCGAAC